AGGTGTGAGGGTGCTATATTTAAGGACCCAAGTGAGGGATGAGAGGGAACAGTCCAAGGGAATAGAGGACAGACCCTGGCTTGGCCTCAGTCACTTTGAAATAAGGGACAGTAGAAGTTTCTGCCTCCTTTGTGATGCCCTGATATCAGTTTTGACTGAGTTGGTTTCTTGGTCACAGTCTTTTTCTTCCTTTACCACAGAAGCCTCAAGGTTAGTCCCCCTGTTCCTGTTTCCCCTCACTCTGCTTACTGAAGGATCATATGGGATTTTAGATATTGGCAGAGTGCTGAGCTGACACTTCCAATGTACATATTTGAAAAAATCAGATCCAGAAAGAAGCATTTTGACTGAAGTGCCTTTTGTCCCTAAGGTGCCATCCCTGAAACAGACCTATGTCCGTTTTGTTTTATTTTACGTCTGGCATAAAGTAAGTGGTTGCTTAATGACTGTAAGTTGGATTCCTGGTTTTCAGACATGGTCTAAATATGTTTGCTTCAAAAATGAGGAGCTTCTGTGTCACTTTGACCTTGATATTTATCTGGACCGTTTTGAAAGAGTAATTTCCAGAGTTCTGTTAGCTAAGTAAGATGAGGCTATTAAAATTCAAGGGAGTCTTATTTGTGCCTACGTGTGATTATGATTACTGCCCCTCACCCCCTGCCGTGAGCAGAATGTGTGCTTTCTAAAAATACTGCTGTTGAAATAATTCCCGGGTCCCAAAGGGGGTTAAATTGTGAAAGAACAATAGGAAAGGCTTGTCGTCTTTCTTAACGTTTGAGATCATCTGAATTGGAAATGTTTCTCTTTCTCTTGTATTTTTGAGAGGCTGAGGGTACCACTCCAAGTCTTTCGAGACTTTTCTGTTAATGTTTCTTCTTCTTCGTCCTCCTCCTAAGTTGACATCTAAGTATGCAGTATTTTGAGTGTCTTTATAGATTCTTTAATTTTTTTGTGTTTTGTTTGTAAATCAATTGGAAATACCCTTGTTGCTATTGAGTAATTTTCTTCTCACAGCCCTACTCCCCTCTTTATACCTTTAGAGAAAGATGATGCAGGATGAGAGTGGATGGTACATGCTCTCAAGAGACTTATACTAGTATTTCATTAAGGAAAAAAGACTAATGTGTATTATTCCATTGTTCCCAAATGGAATAGTGTTTTCTGATTAAGCACACATAACTGGAGACTGTTTAATATCAGTTATTTTAAAAATTCATTTAACAAACAATATTTGAGTGCCTTCACACTGTCAGGCACGATGCTAGGCTCTGGGATACAGCCATGAATGATATCGTTCCTGAGTTAAATGAGTTCAAGTTCTAGTTCGACAAATGGACAACCAGCCAGTCATTACCAGCAGAAATGTATGAGGGGTATCAATGAGCGCAGTGGGAGCACAAAAAATACAGGTTAGTGGACTTCCCTCGTGGTGCAGTGGTTAAGAATCTGCCTGCCAATGCAGGGGACACGGGTTCGAGCCCTGATCACACCACAACTACTGAGCCTGCGCTCTAGAGCCCACGAGGCACAACTACTGAGCCTGCATGCCACAATTACTGAAGCCCGCGTGCCTAGAGCCTGTTCTCTGCAAGAGGAAAGCTACCGCAGTGAGAAGCCCGTGCACCACAACGAAGAGTAGCCTCCACTCTCTGCAACTGGAGAAAGCCCGCGCCCAGCAACGAAGACCCAACACAGCCAAAAATAAATAAATAAATGAATAAATTTATTTAAAAAAAATACAGGTTAAGCTAGAACTAAATTGTAAAGGATTAAGAGTTGGACAGGGTGGGGAAGGATGTTGCAGGCAGGAGAAGCAAGTGGTTTGCTGGCATGTGAATTTGGTGCATTCTGAGAATGGGAATTAGTTCTATGTGACAGGTGTGTCTGCGACCAGGCAGTGAATAACTTTCTATATCTATATTAAGGACTCTTCATTTTATTCATCAGCTGATGGAGATTTATTGAAGGAGTTTTTGAACAGAAGAGTGTCATGGTCAGATTGAAAATCACTTTGACCAGGAAGAATGGATTGAAGCAGAGTGATCCTGAAGATGTCTGAAGGTGTCAGAGACAAATGAAGAAGGGACTCTAGTAACCTAGGAAGGAAGTGGGGAAAGCTTATCTGAAGCAGTGATTTTTATACTTAACCCCAAATTTTAAAATATTTGTCTTAAAATTCAACGCATTTTAAAATTTTGATTTAGCAGTAAGATTAGTGAAACAAACATAGAATATAAGTTTCAGAAAGTTTTACGAGTGTCAAGTATTACTTCTTTTGGTGATTTCAGCTTTAAATTCTTCAGTTGTTTGCGCAATGCAAAATACTTATGTGCTGACTTAACAACTGTTTTTCTGGTATTTTGTGTGTGTTTATAGTGTGGAAATGATTATAGCTGCTTGAAAATACTGAGTTCTGCCTTAAATCCCATGGACGCCGAGCTGCATTTTCTGCAGAGTTTTTGTATTGGAAAAGACACTTTTACCATTTTCATTTACAATTGCACTAAGGCAGTAAGTTTATAGAATACCCTGTAAACACTCTAAATAAGTATACTTTCAGAAATCTTGAAGCAAGAACTAGGATACTAAAATGCCTATTGTATGTTTAGATAGTTTTTAGGTCATTCAAAATAGATTGTAGTTAGAGAATACATTTATAAAATCACCATAATCAGTAGTACTCATGATTATACTCCAAATTTTTATATCATGCTCTTTTTATGTGTATTTTGCCAGTCTCTTCCTTGATTTGAGCTTAAATAGACAAGTATTGACATTTAATTTAAAAAACCTGAATTGTAAATAACCTTGTGGCAAAAGATAAACCTAGTAAAATAGGAAAAAAGAGATAAGAACCCACTCACATTTAAAATATTAACCATCTGAAACATTATTTTATAGACATGTACATGTATATAGGTTACAATTCTGTGTTGTACATTATTTTTTCTACTTTTCCTGTTTTTTCCTATGGAATTTCCATGTGTTAAACACATAGCTCACAGATTTATCTTATTTACATGCTTGCTTTTTCCTATTGGCATTTAAAAGGCTTAAGGCAATGGCTGTTTCTTGTTGGTCCTTGTATTCCTGCATAGAGTCTGAGACTAAATGAAATTTTAATCCATTATATTTTCCAGGTGTTCATGATCTTTTTATTTGTTCCTTCTGTTTTTTGGGTTTTTTATCATTATCATTTGTTGCCTGGGTAGTCTGCTCAAGTGCACTGGATTGTACGGATAGAAAATCTAAGTAGCACAAATGTGGCCTCTTTGCATCCTGATGTGAGCTATCGACCCCTCCTCCTTTCCATTCCCTCCCCCCCCCCAGTCACCACGGTTCCATATGTTTTCCCCCACCCAGTCATTCTCCTGCCGGAAGGCTTCCCGGTGCTTCTCACATTCTGTAACTGGTCCTCTGGCCTCATTCTCATCTTTAGCAGGATTACCTCTGCCTGTCACAAGATCCTGTGCTCCAGTCTTTTTTTTTATAATTATTTTTGGCCGCCTTGGGTCTTCGTTGCTGCGCGGGCTTTCTCTAGTTGCGGCGAGCGGAGGCTGCTTCGTTGTGGTGCATGGGCTTCTCATTGCGGTGGCTTCTCTTGTTGTGGAGCACGGGCTCTAGGCGCGCGGGCTTCAATAGTTGTGGCACGCGGGCTTAGTTGCTCCGCGGCATGTGGGACTTCCCGGACCAGGGCTCGAACCCGTGTCCCCTGCATTGGCAGGCGGATTCTTAACCACTGCGCCACCAGGGAAGTCCCCTGGGCTCCAGTCTTATATTAAGAACAAACAAACAGAACACGGTTTCCCCAAAATGCCGCATTCTCTATCACCTCCTGCCTTTGTACCTCCTCTGTGGGCACTTGACTGAGCAGGGAGAATCACTGCCTCTTGTTTCCTCTGTGCTCCATGGCACTTCTTTTATTCAGCAGTTGTAACTTGTATCAAGTTGTATTATTTGTTTGTTTGTGTATCAGTCTCCCCTACTAGACCTTTTACAAAGACCCTGACCTACTCCTTAAATCCTCAAGGCCTAGCACAATCCCCAGCACATGGTAGAGTGTCATGATAACCTTTAGAGTGGAGCTACTCAATTTGTCTAGGATTATCAAAGTATGAAAAGAAAATAATATGTAAACATAGAGACATAAACACTTAGCTCTAAAATGTATGTGTGCCTAATAGGCAAAATAGGTTATTGTGACATCTGTGAAGGTATTCCAGACAGGACAATTAGAAGTGACTATCTGGAAAATCAGAATTTTAAGGGGCCATCTGGGACACATTTGGGGTTAGATAAACCTGCATCTATTTTGAGTATCCCCAGAATTCGCTAGATGACCCTATACATTTATAAAAATTTGCTGAGTAGAAATATATTCCAAATAACACTCAGCATAGGCATTAAAAAAAGATTAGACTGTGGAGAACCTTAATATAGATAAAATCAAAGAATGGTAACACTTTCCAAGATTATGATAGTTGTACACTGGTGCTCCTTTGTTCAGGTGCATCATTAGTGTGATGCTGGTTGTCAGCATAAGAAAATATAGCGCAGAATGGACTCACAAAAATGTCTGGAGCCTGGGGCTTCCCTGATGGCGCAGTGGTTGAGAGTCCTCCTGCCGATTCAGGGGACACGGGTTCGTGCCCTGGTCCGGGAAGATCCCACATGCTGCGGAGCGGCTAGGCCCGTGAGCCGTGGCCGCTGAGCCTGCACGTCCGGAGCCTGTGCTCCGCAACGGGAGAGGCCACAACAGTGAGAGGCCCACGTACAGCAAAAAAAAAAAAAAAAAAAATCTGGACCCTGGCTGAGCATTTTCAAATGTGTGTTTCAAGTGTAGAGACTCCTATCAACATCTTTTTAGTATAACACTTTGTATATGAATCTTGAGTATTGCAATATAAAGGACCTTTCAGTTTTTTCATTAAACCCCGAAACTGTATGATTTTAGTAATTCTCTTTTAATTTCAAAAGAAACTGTGGTTTTTATTTTTCAGTGTTGAAAATGAGCCCATGAGCACAAGTCAGAAAAAGGAAAAGGTACTTTCGTCAGAAGCAGTAAAGGTATAGTTTTAAATTAATATTGTTTTATATCAAGCAAATATGTTTCTGCTGTTTCTTATTCTTTTAGATTCTGTCATCTCATTTTACGTTTCAAAAAGAGCGTAAAGTCTTATCACTTTATGTGGAACTCCAGCCCAGCTCTACTGGACATTTGCATCTTGATGTGTGGGTAGCGGGAGAGGAGTGAGGAGAGACTTGAGGCAGTGGTGCTCTCACCCCAGCCTAGCCACTAACCAACTGTGAGGCCTTCAGCTGAGGCATTTAACTTCTTTGTGCCTTGGTTTTCTAATCTGTAAATTGTATCATCTGACCTCCACAGTCTCTTTTCTCTAGGAACTTCTTTGATTTATGTTGTGTTTTCTCAAATGCTTCTGACAACTAAGAGTGCTTTTGAGGGCGTAGAAGTTAAAGACATGTTCGTACATGTCATTAGTATGTGATGATATGTTTGTCAGCTCATATATGAACTGGCTTTCCCTGCATCTACAGGACAAGCATGAAAAGAGTATAAGGTACACTTCTATGCAAATAGTTACTGAAAAGTGTGGTTAAAAATCCTGGAAAACCACTAAACCTTATAACATTTCTTTTTAGTCATAAGTGATTTTATAGAAATTGGATGTTTGTGTTGTTTGGGGATGTGAGGCCAGGTATGTGATCAAGTTTTGGTACCTGTCTCCCATTCATGGAGTTTGGTCCCAATTACTTTCTTTTTAAACGATTTGTGACAGTCAGTCAAGGAGAAAGCTTGTGCTTTCCAGGGATTTCTGGGTACATTAGCTTGGTCAGTGGAAGGACCAGAAAGTCATCTTAATTCTTCCTTACTGATATGGGGACTCTTAAACATTATATGAGATCCAAAGACCTTAAATATGGTAAAGATAAAGCTGTGTTCCTTCTTTATTCCCTCCTTCTCCATCATAGTTAGCAATATAAATATTTTTTTGAAAGAAAAAAAAATCAGAATCTGATTTTTTGTTTGTTTGTTTTGTATTGTTTTTTTGCCGTACGCGGGCCTCTCACTGCTGTGGCCTCTCCCGTTGCGGAGCACAGGCTCCGGACGCGCAGGCTCAGCGGCCACGGCTCACGGGCCCAGCCGCTCCGCGGCATGTGGGATCTTCCCGGACCGGGGCACGAACCCATGTCCCCTGCATCGGCACGTGGACTCTCAACCACTGCGCCACCAGGGAAGCCCTGATTTTTTTTTTTAACTTTATAGAAAGAAAAAAATCAGGATCACCTTGCTCCTCTTCCCTTTCTTCTTCCTTTGTGAATTTGGCTACTAAATCCTGCTCCCAGGTTTGATAACACCTCCTACCTATTCTGTTTCAGCTAGTCGTTAGCCAGCTTGCTGGTTCACCACTGCATGGGCTCTGTAGCTTTCTCCCTCTTGCTCAGTTTTCACCTGTCCTGAGATGCCTTACTTCAAGATTTTTGCTTGAATTCTATAGGTGCAACCTTGCTCTTGAGTTGCTTCACAGGAAGCATGTATGTTATTTCTGAGATCTCAGACTTCACAGTTGCTTTGGCTGCCAGCTCCTGTCATTCTCTCTCTTAATCCCTCATTGCCTCTGCACCCACCCTTGAGCTTCAGAGAACCTTCGTGTTTTCCCTGCTCTCTTCTCCTCTCTTGGTCTCTACTTGTTTGTCTACTTAGCCTGGAACTGATATGTAACACTTCAGCTATTAATCTCACTGAAAGAAACAGTCTTCAAACTTGGCCCTCAGACTTTAATTTCCAGTAGTCCTGCTTTTTCACCTGCAGAGTTCTGCTCTAGAAAGTTACATCTTTGTGGCTTCAGTGTCTATGTGGTGGCAGATATAGTGGCTGGGCCTCCATGATTATGATCTTTTCTATCCATTCTTAGTATCTTGGTTTGAGTGCCCAGGATAATTTCAGTTTGGGATTTGGGCCCCCAAGTAAACAGGGCTCATGTTGTGAAACTGTTTCTCTTATGGTTTAAACGAGACCTATAGGATTACTTATACATGGGCAGTTTTGTTAGCCCATGATAGAAAGGGCACCGTGGCACTCTCACTGGGGTAGTGTAAGCATTTTGGACCATGTAACTGTATTTTTTTTTTTTTTTTACTTTCTGGAAATTATTGGTAGGATTTCCTCAACCTCGCTACACAGACCCAGTTGTCCTGGGACTTGCTGCTGCCAGGCATCAAAAATACTTACATTTTGCAGATTATATTCCATTATAAGTTATGACCAGCTATTGGGTATAATTCTCTGTGCTGTACAGTAAATCCCTGTTGCTTCAATTAAAAAAAGGAAAGAAAAAAGTACATGTTTTGATCATATCAATAGTCAGATGCATACCTAGGGGGAAAGAAAGGTTAGCAACAATATCTATGATCTTATTATTTTAAATAGTCTCATTTAAAATTTTTTATTTAGCAATTGGTATAAAACACGCGTTTGCTTTCTTTGTAACGAATGGTTTTCTGAAACATAGCACTCCACTGTAATGTGACATTTCTTGCCATGCTTGCATCTTCTTAACCTGAATTTTATGATAATGCCTTCCATGATAAGGAAAACTGTGTACCATTTTTCCTCTCTAGTGTAAAATGTAACAGATTTATGTATAATGAATGTTTTTAGTGCATTGCTTTTTGTATTTGACCTTGAGATACCAAATCAAGATATTGAAGATTGTTTTGTTATAAATTTAAGCTACAAAAAATTAAGTATATTTTTCAAACAGCTAGAGACTGTAGAAGCTTTATATTATCTTTGGACATAATTAGATTCTTAGTTCTTAAAATGTCACTTATACGCTATACAAATTTTGCTGTTTTGATAACATCGGAATCTGTTTCTCACATGTGCATCTACCGTTCCACTGAAATATATATTTCTTCTATATTAATCAGTTTTGTATCTAACTGGCCAAGTTCCAGATATTTAGTCCATATTCTATGTCTGTTTCTCTATAGGGAATGTAGATTCTTGTCTTGCAGCCTTAGATTCCTGCTGTGCTCATGTCTACTGTTATTTAAAAGAGAGGGAAGGCATGTTATAATGCCCTGCTCCCTTCTCCCTGTTTCAGGGGACTATTCATCCCTTCCTGCCTTCCAAGGCTAAACTCCCTAAATCCCCCTGCTAGTGGTACTGGTCTCTAATTTCCCACCTTCTTTTGGACTTCGCCTTGCACTGCATCCATCTCTCCATCTTCACTGGCTTCCTCTATTTCTCTCTAAATATATAAAATTTTTAAAAATATACTTTTTTCCTTTCAGGGGTCTGGATTCCTTTCAGGCTATCATTTCATTTTACTTGCTGCCTTTAACTCAAAGATTTCTTATGAAAGTTTGTCATAATCACTGTTTAGTTCTTAATGCTTTCTAATCTGACTCTGGTCTCCCTCCTGGTTCCCTTAGACATGGGAAAACCAGTACTGTGCCTGCCATACATTGTCATAGTTGTTAAATGAGTGAGAGTCATTCCATGAAACCCTGACCTCTTGCTAACCATCAGTGGCCTTTTCTTAGTTCTTATTTAACCAGTTGAGACACTTGATTTTCCAAGTCTTGTCTCCTTTCCAGAAAGTCTCTTTTTTATATTTGCACTTACGATATTGTACATTCTTGTTTCAGTTCCTGCCTCTGGCCATTCCCTTCTGTTTCCTTCACTGATTCTCTTCTGGCCAAATTACTTTTCATGTAGATGTTTCTCAAAGTCCTCAACCCTCCTCAACATCAGTCTTTCAAAGCAGTATCTTCCAATCTTACTACTTCATCTTTTGGCTCTCAGATCTCTACCCGACATCCCTCTTGAGCTCTAGACTTGATTGTCAGAGTTCCAGACATTTCTACATTTCCACAAATTCAATCTGCCCAAAAGTCTCAATATTTTCAGCGATGTTCTCTCTATATACATTTGTTTGGGAGATAGAGGTGTTGGGAGGTAGGGAGGATCGTTTAACTGCTTGGGATGGAGGAAGAGCCCTGGGGGTCAAGTACTCCATTTGGAGATTTTCAGTCAAACTCTACTGTTAATCCCATGTCTCATATTGCCCCAAGTAGTACCTAGTATCTTCAAATCCTGAGCTTTTCCAGGTGGTCTGCTGACAATCTGTCTGTAGATTGTTTCCGCCTTATGATCAAAGTTCCCTGTTGCAGTCACTTGGGTGGAAGCGTCTTCTGGTCAATTACCATGCCTTCATCTGCTTTTGCCTTCTAAACTTTTTCTGAAATCTCTTATCTGCTAATATCTACTCTCTTCCTCTCCTTGTATTTATAACTTAAAAAAAAAACCCTTTACTGTCATTTTAGAGTGTTTTGTACAAGAGAAGAAATCAGTGTGTGTCGTTTATCCCCAGTGTTAATCAGAATTTGTATCTCTTTTTCTTTCTATAAATTTATTTATTCATTTATTTAATTTTTGGCTGCATTGGGTCTTTGCTGCTGCACGCGGGCTTTCTCTAGCTGCTGAGAGCGGGGGCTACTCTTTGTTGCGGTGCGTGGGCTTCTCATTGTGGTGGCTTCTCTTGTTGCAGAGCACAGGCTCTAGGCGCATGGGCTTCGGTAGTTGTGGCACACGGGCTTCAGTAGTTGTGGCTCGCGGGCTCAGTAGTTGTGGCTCGCGGGCTCTAGAGCACAGGCTCAGTAGTTGCGGCGCATGGGCTTAGTTGCTCCAAGACGTGTGGGATCTTCCCGGACCAGGGCTCGAGGCTGAGTCCCCTGCATTGGCAGGCGGATTCTTAACCACTGTGCCACCAGGCAAGTCCAGGATATTTATCTCTTAATAGTTGAGGAAAATGAATCTCAGAGAGATTGTCACTTGACAAACTCATATTATTGAGAGGAGGCGGGAGAATTCAGATGCAGTTCTGTACCATAGTGCTTCCCATTTGTGAACTTAATTTGTAAGGTATACTTATAAACTTAATTTACCAAAAAGAAATCCTATTAAAAATTAAAAGAGCTGTGGCAGTAAGTCTGTTTTCAGAATGAGTCATGAGCTAAGTAAAATGAATTAAATCTGA